CTGATATACAACTGTGCAAGCCTCTCCAAGGACCACCTCTTGATAGGAAGAAAGTGCGCACACTTTGTCAACCTATCAACAATCACTCAGATAGAGTCATTGTTCCTAGCTGTCCTAGGCAACCGAACCACAAAGTCCTTAGTGACATTATCACACTTCCACTCGAAAATCTCCATCAACACTAAGCTTAAAGCACTAAGCTCAAACCCAGCTGCCCTCTTAATACCAAGCCAACTGTGCAAGCCTCTCCAAGGACCACCTCTTGATAGGAAAAAAGTACGCACACTTTGTCAACCTATCAACAATCACTCAGATAGAGTCATTGTTCCTAGCTGTCCTAGGCAACCGAACCACAAAGTCCTTAGTGACATTATCACACTTCCACTCGAAAATCTCCATCAACACTAAGCTTAAAGCACTAAGCTCAAACCCAGCTGCCCTCTTAATACCAAGCAATCCCAAAATCCTCAACAATTCTAGATCTTGTAATTGCTTAGTTCTCACCTGTCTAAAGAACTCATTAGTTATGGTGATCATACCATAACTAATATGATCATGAACAACCACCATCTCTAGTCTCAAATCTCTAAACTACTCAATCATCTCCAACTCCTTAATCAACATAACTGACACATGAATGGATTTCCTACTCAATACATTCGCTACCACACTCGCCTTCCCAGGATGATACATCAACTTAAAATCAAAGTCCTTTAGGAATTCCATCCACCTTCTCTGCCTCATATTCAACTCCTTCTGATCATTAAATACCCTGAATCTCGTACCATATAGATAGTGCCTCCATGACTTCAAGGCAAACACCGCAGATGCAAGCTCCAAATCATGAGTAGGATAATTTCTTTCATGAGTCTTAAGTTGCCTCGAAGCATACGCTACTACTCTCCCTTCCTGCATCAACATACAGCCCAACCCCTGGTGAGAAGCATCACAGCACACATCAAAATACTCACCAGTGTCAGGTAACACCAAAGCTGGAGAAGTAGTCAATCACCCCTTCAATTCCTGAAAACTTTGCTCACAAGCGTCCATCCAAACTAAAAGCTGATCTTTCCGAGTCAGTTAAGTCAAAGGCATTACTATTCAAGAGAAACTCTTCATGAATCTCTGATAGTAACCTGTTAACCCAACAAAACTC